GTCACGGCCGTGCCTCTTGGAAAGGAAAAAACAAAACGCGTTTTCTTTTTTTTTTCTTTCACGAGAGTCACGGTTTGGCTTCCGCGAGAGGCACGGTTGTGCTTTCGCAAGAGTCACGGTCGTGCCTCTCGGAAAGGGAAAAAATACGCGTTTTCTGTTTTTTTCTTTCTCGAGAGTCACAGTTTTGCTTTCGCGAGAGGCACGATTGTGCTTTCGCAAGAGTCACGGCCGTGCCTCTCGGAAACGGGAAAAAACGTGTTTTCTATATTTTTTTCCTTCCACGAGAGTCACGGTTTTTCTTCCACGAGAGGCACGGTTGTGATTTCACGAGAGGCACGGGCGTGCCTCTTTCGGAAAGGGAAAAAACAGTGCTTCCGGTTTGGTTTTTTCGCCCATTTTTTCGTCCGGTTTTTTAAAAAAAGTTTGTCAAAACCTATCAACATGGGATCTAGTTTTAAAGATCTCGACGCGAGGAATCTAATGGTGAAAACGGTTCGAGATTTGGATGCACGGTTAAAGAGATAAAATATTTTGAATAAACGGATCTACGAAAAAAGGGAAAACTCCCAGGTTGCGACAAGTGGCGCGCTGTATGTGTGCCACTTGTCGTGATCTGGAAAAGTGGAATGTTCTTTGCAACGAGTACTCCTTAATTAATGATTTCGGACGTAGACGCTTCCTCCTTTGTCCTTCCTCTTCCGAGGCACAAATTGCATGTAGGAAGCCCGGCCCAGTTTCACGTCTTCTTCCTCCCCTTCCTCCATCCTCCTCCCTTCTTCGTGCTAAACACGCACAGCAAGGACACCAGCTGGGGCAGGGAATTGATGAGGTAACTTGGCGTTTGGAGCCGTCTGGTCTCTTCTCCACTGGATCTTTGTATGGAGAGATTTTCAAATCTATGACACCCTATGACATGTCGGGGATATGAAAGGCTCGGCGCCCGGCAAAAATAAAAATATTGCTTTGGCAAGTGGCACGTAATCGAATTGCTAGTGATGACCAGGTGCAAAAGAGAAGAGGCCCGGGTGATGGCAAATGCATCTGGTGTGGCGAGAATGAAGACCGTGATCACATCCTATTTCGATGTACCATGGCTAGATTTGTGTGGAGCTCGGTTAGAGCGGTAACGGGCTCAACTTGGAATCCGAGTGGGTTTTTGCATTTCTATAAACTGGCATCGTTCACTATCGGACGTGATAGACGGATGGCCTGGCTAGGATTTGGTGCTATGGCCCGGTCACTAGGCATTGATAGAGGGACAATACATCAAACATCCGGCTGATCTGTTATATAAATTGGTGTCTTTCTTGTAGCCGTGGAAGCCACTAGCAAGGGCGTAAGACCGAAGGCACGTGGAGGAGCTCGCCTCAAAGGTGTGGGCAAAATGTACTGAGCTGCGTCGATCGACACAGGGACACCGCCGCCATGACGTCATCCCTAGCTACCTTGAGGGATGCGCTGCTTGATCCTGCCTACGGGCATGTATGACATATATCTCTCTCTGTCTTTATTTCGGCGTACTCTGTCAAACTTGTTCAATTCTTAAGGGCCTCAGTTTAAGGCCAGGCAAACGCCTCTTTTCTAAATAAAAAAAAACACGCACGGCGAGTCAGCGATCACGCAAGTAATGCTCGCAGGCCTAAAGTGACCTACACGGAGTGATCTGCCTACATGCAATTTGTGCCCCGTGCTCAGCGTGGAGGAGATCGGGACGCAAGAAGGTTTTGGCGTTTTTCTCCGCCTTCTGCGGCGTCCTTGAAATCGTTTGCGTAAACGCCAACACCCAAGCTCAACGTTGGTGTTTAAGTAGCTCGTTTGCACCCCTCACGTTTTTGATGGGTAGGACAGGATTTCAAGGAAAGCAACACCCATTTGCCAGCATGAAGGTTTCGGCGTTTTTCTCCGCCTTCTGTGGCGTCGGGCTCCTCCTAGCTCTCAATGGTAAGCATTTGCGTAAACTTTTCTATAAGCACTGGTCTTTTCCTCATTACATCGAGCTGATCGTTGTCATCCACTGTGTTTTGCATGCACGGCGGCCGGATCAATTCTAGCTGCCAGCGTGGAGTGTGCTCGGCACACGTCGTACACGCCGCAAACCTTGTTCGTGTTCGGGGATTCGTTCGCCGACACTGGGAACCTTCCGCCAACGAAGGGCAACTTTGAGATGTCGCGCCAATGGAAGGCTCCCTATGGCATGTCAAACAGAGTCGACGGATCGGGTCGGCGGCAACAACATGCAACCGGCCGCTTCTCCAACTTCATGGTTCAATCCGATTTCATCGGTGCGCTACGAGTTGGAAACTATATTTCCTTGATTGATACCATTGATTACAGAGTACATGGTTTATGAAGGGAAAGTGGAGCACCGGTCGCCCTACATTGTAGGCACGCAGGCCAGGCGAGGTGAGATCCTACAATCCCGGATGGAATACAACAGAGTACAACGGTACAATATACACAAGCTATACACAGATTCTAACACCCCCCTCAGCCGGAACTCCATTGGGAAGAATGTTCAGGCTGCGTCGAAAATCTGTGTAGACGGGAGACGGCAACCCCTTGGTGAAAATGTCAGCGTACTGAGAGCTGGAGGGAACATGAAGGACTCGAGCTTCACCAAGAGCCACACGGTCACGAACAAAGTGCAGATCGATCTCAATATGTTTGGTGCGCTGATGTTGGACCGGGTTGCTCGCAAGATAGGATGCGCTGACATTGTCACAATACACAATAGTAGCACGAGTCGGTGGAAGCTTGAGTTCATGCAGAAGGTGACGCAACCAGCAAGACTCGGCCACACAGTTGGCAATGCCTCTGTATTCAGCCTCTGCACTCGAGCGCGAGATGGTGGGTTGCCTCTTTGACGACCAGGAAATGAGATTGTCCCCGAGAAACACACAGAAACCGAAAGTGGACTTACGTGTATCCGGGCATCCAGCCCAATCCGCATCGGTGTAGGCGATCAGATCCATGGAGGGAGACTTGTAGAGCTGCAAGCCGTAGTGAGAGGTGCCCTTGAGGTAACGGAGAAGCCGCTTGACAAGTTGCATGTGTGTGTCCCGAGGTGCATGCATGAAGAGGCAAACTTGTTGTACGGCATAGGCGATATTCGGGCGTGTAAGCGTGAGGTATTGGAGGGCACCCGCCAAGCTGCGGTAATGGGTGGGATTGGAAAGTAGGACGCCGGTGTAGGAGGACAGCTTGGAGCTGGTGTCAATGGGGGTGGATACTGGCTTGCAGTTTAGCATCTTGGCGCGCTCTAGGATCTCAAGCGTGTATTGTTGTTGACACAAGAAGAGGCCGGCTGAGTTAGTGGTGACATTGATGCCCAAGAAGTGGTGGAGAGCGCCCAAGTCAGTCATGGAGAACTCGGACTTGAGGGAGTTGATGATGTAGGTGAGTGTGGAGGAGGAGCTAGCGGTGAGAATAATATCATCAACGTAAACAAGCAAGTAGGCGGTGGATGTACCGTGTTGTAGGATGAAGAGTGAGGAATCACTCTTGGATGCCTGAAACCCCAAGGAGAGGAGAAATGCCTGAAAGCGAAGAAACCAAGTGCGTGGTGCTTGCTTGAGTCCATAGAGAGACTTGCGGAGAAGGCAAACATGGTCCGGTTTGGAGCTATCCACAAATCCAGATGGTTGGCTGCAATACACTGTTTCACTGAGGTCGACATGAAGAAATGCATTTTTGACGTCAAGCTGGTGGATAGGCCAGGAGCGAGAAGTGGCAATGCTGAGGACCACGCGAATAGTAGCTGGCTTGACCACGGGACTGAATGTTTCACCATAATCCACGCCCTCTTGTTGTGTGAATCCACAAACAACCCACCGAGCTTTATAACGAGCAAGAGATCCATCGGTGTTGAATTTATGCCGGAAAATCCATTTGCCCGTGACAATGTTAACACCTGCAGGTTTAGGCACCAACGACCAAGTGAAGTTGTTCATTAAAGCATGATATTCGTCTAGCATTGCTTGATGCCAATTGGGGTCTTTGAGGGAGGACTTGTATGTAGGAGGGATGGGAGAAATAGTGGACGAAGAGGCATCAGCAAGGAAGAGCCGCTTGGGCATGAGGTAACCTGATTTTGCACGTGTAGACATTTTGTGTGCATTGTGGGGTGGATGAACCGGAATGGTGTGGGGAGGCAGGCGTGGCGCACGGGGAGTGGTTGGAACGGAAGACGAGGATGATCCGGTGGGGACAGGTGCAGGAGAAGCGGAGGGTCCAGTGGTGGGAGGCGTGGGATCCGAGGCAGATTCGGTTGATGGCTGTTGGGTGGGAACGGATCGCGAGGTGGATGTGGGGGTGGTTGGG